TTTATTGATTGGGTGGGAGAGGAGGATAAGTTGAATGCCATCTTAACCTACTTTAGCGAATGCGATCTCGATATACCGATCAATCTATTGTACGCCATCATCTTTGGGATCCGTGAACATAGGCAATTGAGTTCGGTCTCTCTCAAGAAGTTACTCAAATATTACAAGGAATTGCAGGAGGAACACGATTATCAATTGAATGAGCATTTCACAGTTTCAGAGGCACATCCTTATTTTTAATTGATGTTTTCAGAGGAATTCAATGAGAAGATCACTAATAGTTAGAAGCAATCGATGACTTTGTTGGAACTATTATTGATGTTATGCCAACACTTCCTGATGATTGAGAACAAGCAATGGGCTGGGTGGTTGTATAAATAGGAAATCGAATCTGAGGATTTGAATATGAATGTGGTACTGTATTATTATTAAAATTATAATTAAGATCAAATAATTCATTGAGTTGCGTGCGCAATTGAATCGGCCACTAGAAGAGAGCCTCAAATTAGTGAGACAACTCTCCTTGCTCCACCCTGACTTGTTTTATAAGAGCAAGCAAGCTCCCCTGGAGAGGATGAAGGCCTCGGTGCGGAAGGTGCAGCGGAAGAACTCGCAACGATCTCCTCTCAAGCGATCAAGCATTACTTTGATTAAAGCTATAAGTATGAAAAAGTGATTTATTAATTATATAAAAATGGGGAATACTTTGATTGAGGACAAAGGCAAAATCAATCTGATGAAGGCTTTCGAAACCTACAACACAGAGTAGGAAATAGGCACTCGTTAGACTCTATTCTTCGAGAATAAATTGTTCAAGACTTTGAGTTATAAATGGCATCAACAAACTCTTCTATTGAAGGTGCATCTGATGCGTAAACAAATCACCCTCCAGGAATTGCACATCCACACTCAAAATTTCCAATATCTGATTGATCAATTGGAACCCTTCCCAAATCTGATGCCATTCCACAACCTCATCAACTTTGGCAGCACTCCCAAACCGCAAGCCTTTGAAATGCATTTTGATTGCAACAAAGAATACTTGGCAGTCTCCAGACAATTCCTATACATAACCTTGGAAGAACGATTGCAATCGAATTACAAATTGCCCAAATGTCTATTGAACTTTTACGCCCTGCAACTCTTGAATGCAGTCAACACACTCCATAAACGCAACTTGTATCATGGACACATCCGTTCCTCCAATGTGCTCCTAACCAGTCTGGATTTCCTGGTCCTGACTGACTTTGCCTCATATAAGCCAATCTTTTTAAATGAATTGGAAATCATTAGAAACATCTACAAATCATCAATCCAGAAATGCACTTTGGCTCCTGAAAAGTATTCTGACCTACTGGAAGTCCAATACCTCAACAATTTAACCAGAATCCAAGTGATTCCCATGTAAGCCATGGACATGTTCTCAGTAGGCTGTGTATTGGCAGAGATCTTCACAGGCGAGAGTCTCTTCTCTCTTGAACAACTGCTGCAATTCAAGAAGGGAGAATATGAACCAATCATAAAGGTCGATGGAATCATTGGCGATCTAATACGCAATCTGATCTCACTCAACCCAGAAACCAGATACAATTCAGAGTAAGCCTTAAGTCTGTTCTGCAACGAAATCTGCTCAAGTCAAACCTATGAATTGCTCCAATACATCAGCGTAGCATTGAATGTCAATGGTTATTTCATGTAGCCTGATGCTCGCATTGCCTTACTTCGCAAGGTCATTGCCACTATAGAAAGGAAACAGTTCCTTTACTCACTTCCCTTGCCTATGTAATTTATCAATTTAAGTAAATTCAATTAGATTTGCAAGGATTTTGAATTTCCACGCAAAATAGTTTAAATACAATTCACCAGTGGTGCAGGCATGGATGAAATCATTGGCAACTCACTTGAAAACTCAGGCAACCTGATTCAAAGGGAATTCAAAGAGGTGCACTAAATTACCTAATCAGTGTCAATGCAAGTGTCAATGGTTCAAAAGCTTAAACAATCGATTCAAAAACAACCTGAATTGCAAGAACACAGGTAGAACTTGAGGATGAGCACATTTACTAATGTCGACATCAGACAGAACAATCAGGAATACATTATAGTAATCTTGTGGATCTCCAATCAAATCAGGAATTCGAGATTCATGCAAACCAGATTATGCGGATTGGAATTGATAGAATTCCTATGCTAATATATTGATGATGAACTCATATACTATTTTCTGATGCCGTGTTTGGGAATCCTGTGTGAGGACTCAGATTCCCAAGTGCAATTCTATGCTTTCTCCATCATGCTCAACCTGCTCAAGAACATCAAGAGCCCTCCACAATCATCCACTGACACACTCATTTTCAAATTGTACATCTGGGAACAAATCAAGAACAGGATGAATGACATGAGTGCCAATCATCAACTGGCTCTGAAGATTGGAGACATTGCAGAAATACTACACAAGTATAACCGACAGGAGGAAAAGATTCTGTTCCTGTAAATCATATAGAAGAAGTTCCAGGAGAACAGGATCAACGAACTCACCATCATCATATCGAAGATCTATGAAGTGCTCAAATATTACGAATGTAATCAAACTCTAGAGATTCTGACACTTCTCATCTCTCAATTCAACAACATTAATCTTAAGATAGCCTTGCTAGATGTCTATTTGGATATCTACAAATACTATTCCAACACTGAAAATAGTGAGTTGCTCCTCTATTGTCTCCAATTCAATACGAGACAAGAGAGTGCTCTGTTTCGCATCATCCGTTTCGTCAGGTAGGCCACCGAAGAGAAACTCCTACAGTTCAAAAAGATCGTTTCATATGTGAAGGAAATCTCCCCTTTGATTTTGCACCACAACAGATGGATTAGAGACGAAGCCAAAGAATTCCTCACCATCTTGCTCAACAGGTACAGTAGCAAGGAGATCTTCTTCCTTTTTCATCCACATGTTAAGAAGTACTTGAAGTTGGATGTCCCAACCATCACCTTCGAGGTCTTCACCTCACTGGTCCAAAAACCTATTTGCACTAAATGGTTCGATCAGAAAAACCAAAATGAACCAAGGTATCCATCCTTAACAGAAAGGGAACTCTACAATTACAACAATTATTATGAGGATTATTTTAAGAAATCAAAGAACATCCAGGAGACAGCTGTCTAACAGTAGATTTAGAAGGCACAGTATCCAATAGCCAAGATAAATCAACGAGTCAATGATTTTATCGAAGCTGCTTTCCGTGTTGGATTGGTGCAATTAGACTAGAATAAGTGGGAAGACTTCTCGAAGAAGGGCAGTAAGACATGGGAAGATTTCATTTAATACGTCAGAATCAACAATGGATTTGATTTATCGAATAAACAAGACAATCTGTTGACGAAGAAGAAGGTGAAATTTTTATAGGAATTACAATTGTAATTGCAATATCACATACCTCAATCCAGCACTCAGTGGATCAACTTGTTCAATTACAACATCATAGCCAATCAGATCTATATTAAGTCATCACAACTGCAAATTTAGGATATCCAATTCCAAAGAGTCCTACAACAACCGATTGCCAGACCATTCAAAATTGGCAACTAAATTGTAACCACGATCTCTGAACACAAAGGCATTGTTACATCCTTGCAGAAGTTTGGAGATCAAAGGAAATTCATTTCTGGTTCATATGATGGGACAGTCAGAATATACGATATGAAGAAGATAGAAGATGATTTTACCAATGGAAGTGTTGCTCAGATACGCGTAAGTGAAGGGGATGTGCAGAGTAGAATCTCCGCCTTATGTGCATTGGAAGGAACTGACAGCTTTGTGGTTGGCACCAATACTGGGAGTGTGAGTCTGTACACAAATGATCGTCATACGAGCACATTTCTGAAGGGGGATTCAGAAATCAGGAAGATCGTTGATTAGGAGAACACATTCATGTATGTGACAGAGAAGGGCACTCTCAAGATTGAAGACATTCGTAGTAGGAATGGATAGAGCTTCAATATTGGAAGACAACGCGGATTGGTTTCAAGCATGGTACATGATAATTATACTACTTTAATTGGTACCATTAATGGTTACTTGATTTTATATGACATTAGAAGTACCATGATTGTCAATTTGTTCTAGTTATTGAATCATGACGATCAAGCATTGCCAATATTCAGTTTGGCTTACATGAATAGAGTGTCTTAATTTGAGGGAATGAACAGTGACAGTTCGAAGTTGGTAGGCATTGGATATTAATCCAATAATAATGAAGTGGGATTTTGGGATTTGAATAAGTAGAATGAGGATTTGAATCCCGCACTCTTCCTGTATTGTTCAGATAAGAAGCACCCTATAATAGAGACTCCCAGATTGTAATCGGTATTGAAGTCTGAACAATTCATAAATCATAACAACAATTTGTCCACGCAATGCCACTACGACTTCTTGAATAAGAGTTATTAAGTTGATTTGATATCGTATTTGAAAGACCCTTTGACATCGTCGGAGAGATTGGCTAAAGATCGTTGGTTGCGTGGTACCAAGAATCTGTATATCAATCTGAAATCAGCCTTTGAATGCAAGAGTACTGTGACTTCATTGATCTGCTTGACGTCTCGGATTGACAATCAGAGACAGGAGAACACGTTCATTACTGCAAGTACAGACAGAAGCATACAGAGTTGGACATTGAATAGTGATGTAGCCAAATAGCAGGACAAGAACAATGACAGGGTATGTTGATTATGGTATTGTAGGAATTCCAAACGAATATTATAAGTTCGCCCTTCAATTCAATTCGGAAGTTCAAGCAGTGTCCAAGTGGGGATGTCTATGTGATATAGGATTACGAATTCAAAAACCAAAGCAATTCTGGCAATTCCTTTGAGCACAAGGACTGCGTCACAGACATGATATATTTAGACCATGAAAATAGTTATTTGGTTACTGCCAGTCGGGATCATACGATAAAGATATGGAAATGAATGAAAATATTATAATAAGAAATTTAATTGATGGCAGATCTATGTCAAAACTGCAAACACAAACAGTTGAGATCTCGAATGATCGGCAAGAAATTCTCATCTAACATTCTAAATCAGATCTAATAGATACGATCTCCACGAAACCTCGATCATCCTTACATTAATGTCATTGAATATTTGCAGAGCATCCACAAGAAGAAAGAAGAAAAGCCAAAGGAGAGTATCCAGTGTCATCGTCTGAAAACCCATACTTCAAAGCAAAAAACAGAAGTGTAAATGGAAGATGCAGCCACAACCACATCTCGTTTGGATTAATTCCCAGCGAATTTCTACATCCCTCGAGGTGCAGTGGCTAGCAAAGTAATGAGCAGTGCATTTTACAAAATGAAACGCATGTGTTCCTATTCGAGGGAGGAATCCAAAAGGAGGAATCTAGAGATCGGCCCCATGTTTAATCAAGTTTCGAAATTCGTGTAACCGATGAGGCCAGGCACTGTGAGAAGTGTCAATTCCAAGATGGAGGAGAGATTGGGAGCAACGTCGACCAGTGCCAGACAGGAGATGTTGAGATAGAGCAAATCAGAGATGCAATTGAGATTGCCAGTTTCCAATAAATTGAGTGAGGTGCAATCCTTGATGAGGAGGGAGTGAGTGAGATCAATTAATTATTTATTACTTATTCTTATTGATCTGAGAGTTCTTGGGGGATTTATTTTAGAATAATAATTAAATGTATTATCTAAATTACGAGGTATTGCGGAGTAGATATTAGCAATTTACGCAATTCAACATTCTCGAGCAACTTGAATCGATCTATCAATCTCTTAAGGTAACACACCATATTTAGAACTAAAAAAGCTCTCCTTGGAGTCCAGAGATAGGAATACTTTCTTTTAGGATAAAGTGCAACAATAACCAGATTGCTTTCAAGTGAATCCCATTTATGGTTTTGCACAACAAGCAAATGAATTGTATGGCAGTTATGGACAACCCACCCAACTGTGCTTCTATATGCATCGTCAAAAGAGGTTTCTAATGATTGGCACCCAACATTCAGTGATCATCTGCATTGAAGTGGTAAATGGGAGAGTGGAGTCCATCCAAGCCATACTCAACGCAGGAGAACGATAGACCAGATATGGCTCTGTGTTGGCAATTCAATGTTGGGAAAAGTACATGTTGGTTGGTTTTGAAAGAGGAGACATTCAATTATACGAAGTAGGTCGCAAATGGGAACGCTTGCATCACGAATCCAAATTGCATTCTGGCAAAGTCGTGTAAGTCCTCTTCATACCCTCCTCCACCATTGAAGCACTCTCCCTGGATGAACATGGTGTCATCTACAAACACGCTTTCACAGTGATGACAGTCATGGACAAATACATTGTCACTCATTCCAAAGACAAAATCTACAAGAACGGCAAAATCTATCACATCAAACGCAACCCCCAATAACCAAAATAAAAGCAATCCTCTTGGTGGAATAATGCCAAAAACATCTTCAAAAAAGATGAAGAAGTCAGTGAACTCACCGATCCCTCTGTCAGACACTCCAGCGATACAGATGGCCAATTGACCAAGTTCGCTCTGGACATTAAATTGATGCCTGAAGCCATGACTCAGTAACTCAATCAAAATATCCAACAAGTGGTCATTGCTGCAGTCCTATATTCTAATCGCGTTGAAATTCTCAAATTCTATAAAGGTAACACCACTGTATTCATCAATCTAGGCTCACTCAAATGCGAAATTGTTTACACTCTAAAAAGAAACACCTTCTCAATTGATACTCCCCAACAGGACAACACTGAGAGTGGAGAACTATCCTGGGGAGAGGGGTACTTCCAAAAGTCATATCAGAATGCCAAATTGTTGTGTATAAGATGGGGTGACTTATTTCATTTAGTCAAATGCATGAACATAGAAGACGAACTTGAAATTGTAGAAGGGTAATATAATTTAAATATTTACCAAGTGCTGTTTACAAGATGGAGAAAGAGAAAGGCAACATAATAAAGAGTTCATTTTTAACAAATAATATCATTTATGCATTTTCAGATTCGAATTGGGTTGCTTTGATTCATACAACCTAATTTTAGTTTGCCAAGCAGGATGATGGAATAGTTATTTTGGAACCTAAATCCAGGATGCTATCCAAAGAAGATGTTGAACCTCAAACGGCTGAAATTTCTGTGTCTTATGAGGGTCCAAGCAAACCTTGTCAAGTGTAAATATATGAGAACGGCATCGTTTCATTGAGGAAGAATAACATTTTAATTGAGAGACTATAAACTTGGAATGAATATCTGGAAGACTTAATTGAGAAGAACCAATGGGAGAAAGCTATGCACTAAGGAATGCTCATCTACCAAGGATAAATTAAAATCCTCAGTGAGATTGCCTCCTCTCTGTCAGCACGTTAAGAATAGATGAGTCAGATGTTTCAGAAGATCGCCTTTACTCATATTATGTTTGCTCTGAAACCCTTGGATATTCCATTATCTTAATAGGAAAAAGAAAACAAAATAAAAAAGACAATTGAATTCCTACTCAGAGTTGATAACATGTCATATGCTTTAGTTGTGCTGAAGGATTTCTTCAAAGACATCCAATAGATGAAACTGTATTTCACTTGTTTGGATCCCTTCATCAAAAATAAATAAATTGCAGTCATTCCTGAGTCCTTCTTTGTTGATTATGTGAACTTCTATTAAAATGACAAAGAGATGATACAACAACTCATACTACAATTAGATTTACATCAATAAGAACCTACGCTTCTAATTAAGGTCTGCATGGATTATCACTTGTATAAGGCCATGATATACCTGTGCACAAAGTAAGGAGATTTCATCACTGGATTAATGAAATTGATGAATCTTTGGGAAAATAAATGTTAATCAGAATAGAGAGAGCATTGTAATATTGAGAAGGAGAAGTTGCGTCAATTCAGAATTAAGTTAGGCTATAATATTTTGGCATATGTTCGTATGTGTGTCAAGGGAATCAATATCTTGGGAGAACGTGTGCCACATAACATCTATTTTGATATGCTAAGGGGATTAGTATCCTTCATTTTTAATACAGAAAACCTTAAACAATTCATACTTATTGATATTCGGCTATCACTTCAACTGCTTATGCAATTCATGCAACATCACATTTACACTAACATCAAATCAGCCACACTCCCTGGAATCAAATTTGAGATCATTGATCATGTTCCTGAAATCCTGAAATTGATGCTCAGTGCCATTGAAAATACTAGACAAGAAATCAAGACTCAAGAACACTATCAAATGATATACAATGACAAGACCTAACAATACCAATAAATCAACCTCGCTGAATAACTTAACCACTTCTTGTTATTCTACTCTCAATTACTCATGTAATTCCCAACACAATTGACTCAATAATTCAAGGAGAAGCTATTCATAGATCTTCTCTCTCCATCCTATTTTTAAACCCTGAAACAATATAACTTCAATACCCAAGATTTAGATCCTATTTACTTAGAATCCTACGAAGTCAATAAAAACGCCTATTTGATTCACATCTATGATACGAGTCAATTGAATGATATCCCCCTTGTATTTGATGAGAGCACCCAATATCCTGAATTCCGAGCTTTTCTTATCTATAAACAAAAAGATTATTTTGCTTGCATTCAGGACTATTTTCTAATGTCAAACTCGATAATGAAAAGAAACGTATTCGAAGTCGTAGAGCGACTCTTGATTCATAGTGATGAGTAATTCCTCATGCATTTATAAGAGTTTATTATCGATAATTGTGATGCATTAATGACGATTAGTTAACAATATACAAATCGAATATTCAAGGAATACTTCCATGATGTCGAATTGCAAAGGAAAATTATTCAGAAACTAGAGAAAACCCCTCAAAACCAATTGCATTACCTTAAATAATACATAAAGAATGAGAAAGCCTCTGATTCAATCAGATTGCTCTACCTTGAACTTCTGTGTTAAAGAGCACCTAAGGAAGTGCTGAAGGATGTCTAGAATGGAGATTTCCCTTTGGATGATGCCTTGGCAATCTGCGAAAAACACAAGGTATATAATGCTGCTGCCTATTTACTCCAAAAAAATGGAGCCATCTAGAAGGCTCTGGATATGTTGACATTGCTATTCATCAATAGATTGAAGGATTCTCATAAGTCATTTGCCAGATCAAAGACCATATCGGAAGCTGATTCTGAGGACATTTTTGAGAAATTGAATTACATCATCGATCTCTGTTCTAAGATAGAAGATGACGGTTATTGGTTTTAATTTTTAGACTCTTTTTTCAAATAGCATAAACTAGAGTAATTGACTGACGTGAAGGTTCCAGAAATCTTAAGAAAATTGCATGGAGACATCGTTTCTGAGGTCTTCTTAGCCATGTCTAAATGCATAGAGTTGGAGAAATTGTTGAATGTAAAATTAACATAATATAGTAGAAAATGCATTAACATTATGGATCCATTCCACTGAGAGTTTTTCTCAAGACCAATTAATCCATCCAAGAAAAGTTCGCCTTTGAATTGCCTTCCTACAATATTGCTATGCGATAGACTGATGTCACTTACAAGGCTTTAAACAAGAAACTCTTCCAGTAGATGAATCAAGGAGTCTGTGTAGATAGATTTTGTGGGGAATGCAATGATCGAATCACTAAATGCACCAAGGCTGTGGCTTTTTAATGTGGACACAGTTTCCATTAGGAATGCTACATTGAACTTCATGGGAACAATTAGAAGAGCTTCAACAGTTTGAAATTGAAAAATCAAAAGGTTTTTTAGGAATGCTTCATCTGTTTGGAAAATAATGAGAAATACAGTATTTATATATACATAATTCATTTTAGTTGCACATCTAGTTATTTAGGCTAGTTTGAAGAAACTGAAGTTCGATTTTGATAAATATCTACACAGATAGGCTCATGTGGTGCCAGAATCAAAGCAGGTTGTCGTGCAATACAACAAGACGGAGAGGAGGGAAAAGGCCATCAAGAAATTGAAATAGGATGACTTTAACAAATTGTATATAAGAGAGGTAGAGATCAATTTAATCTATAATATAGTCTTCATTAAATTGGAAGGATTGGTGAAAATAAAGAATAAAAATTGTGTAAGAACTTTGAATTTATCTTAAATTAATTTATTTAATGGGTTGTTGCCAAAATTCACTAAGGTGTTCAGACGAACTACATTTGGATCATGTAGGCTTCTAATTTTCACCCAAATCCTTGAGCATGGCTCCTCTCTCCAGCAATCTAATTAAGGGAGATACTGATGAAATCATGGAACAAATGGAATGCCTTCAGAGTACTTGCGAGGAAAAGGGCTTACTAGAGAAGCTGAGGTCAAACAATATCACCAAGACCAGTAGTCTCAACTTGAAGGAGGAGGTGATCATCGATTTGCGATAAGCTCCCAGTCCTTCCAAAAAACAGATGACCAATAAGAACTTAAACAACAAATTTATTGGAATGCTGTGAGGAAAAACTCTCCCAACTTTGTAGTTACACTTATCATGAGTATTTATGTCATTGATATACACTCTCTTAATTTCGATTTTATTAATTTAAAATCAATTTCTCAAAGCTATCAAAAGATAATGGGATGTTGCTAAGATAGACCTAATACAACCCTCAGAGCCAACGAACTGAGACCCTTGACCAAGGCTCCATCTCTTGTCCTCACTCACAAGGCCCAAGTGATGGAACCAATGAAGATCTCTATTATTGGAGACATCGATAAAATGGATTTCATGGATGAATTCCCTCAACCCATGCCATCCATCACGCAAATCGATTCCAAATGTGTCGCCAAACAAATGTCCTCCCGTGAATTTAAGGAAACCAGAGACTTGGTAATGGAATTATTCACTATCGTTTTAGAAATTAACATAAATATCGGAAACCATTATTATCGATATGAGATCAGGTACATTTCTCCAGAGTCCCCTCAAACCAATGTCGGAGAGGCACTCCAGCAAAAACTTAAATTCTAAATTCATTGGGATGCTCTGATGATATCCTTTCATGTGTATATACATTAAAATTACTATATAAACACTTAAATATTTCATTTTCCAGTGCACATTTCTTAACTGATCACTCAATATTCTAAGTTTCTTGTTTCAACCAAGCCTTTTTCCTCATTCTTATAACCCAAATACCATATTGATATCTAGTTTAAATAGATTTCAATTTTCAATTAAAAATATACCTTTTAATTAATTGATTATTAAATAACCATAAACCTTATATTATTGAACTAAATTCTTAAATTACGCGATTTTTCATCACAAATGCTGGATCAAGCACCTCTACTCCAAAAAGTAAACAATTCTCCCCATGTAGAAACAGACTGTTAATATAACTATTCCTAAAATTAAATATTGCCCTTTTTTCAATTAAGATATTAGTAATGTGGCTAATTTATGATGGCAAACAAGTTATTCTAAGTAATTATTCAATAATTCAGTTATTTACAACTAAATATGTTTTATTATTAATAAATATTTATAAATGGTAGTTTATTATTAATATTAATTTATTATTATTATTTATATCGTATAATTTTTAAATATAATCCCTTCATTTATCAACATTGTTGGTGTTATTTACGATGTATCTTTTAGGAAAATAAAAAGGAGCCTATTGTTTTAACAGTTATTTAGTATCATAAGTCTCTTATAAAATTTATTGATAATCCTTTTGTCCTTAATTTTTGATTATAAGTTGTCTTCTCTCATTCAAAATCGTAGAAATCTATGAATTACATCTATATAATATACGTCCTGTTCCTGCACTCCACACTTCTTTGCGATTAAATCTAATGAACTTTACAATCGAGCATCCAAAACCATAAGCTTTTTAAGTTACAATTCTTGCAACTAAATATTGGTAACTTATTTTTTTTCTTCAGATTAATCTAAGTTTAATAAGATTATAAAAGGATACCATCTGGTTTTGTTTCCTTTTAATTCACGTTAAGAGATATATAGGCATTCTGATATGTCTTAGCCTATTCATTCAATTTCCTATTTATTTCCAACACCTCACTTAATTATTATCTACTGGTTGACAATTAAATTTCATATTCACTTTTCCTTTCCTTCTATGCCATAAAATCAATAAACTCCTTTTTCAGATTATAGTCGCTGTTTTTGATGTCAAATACTCCTTTGATCTTTTCATACAACTATTCTAAGTTTATTAGTTTTTCCCTTTGCAATTTGTCTTCCTTTTCTTGAGCCTCTTTGTTTTTTTTATTTTTGGTATCATCATCCTTTTTGTTTAATCGTTTCCTCAATTTTTCAATAGAAGCATTAGCCTTTTGGGTAATCTCCAAATCACTCACTTAAAATATTTTATCTAAATGCTGTTTTTCATATAAACTATTTTTTATTTGAAGCAAAAGTGTTGATTGATGTTCTCTCTTCTATCGATAAACCCTTAAAAATTCATCAAATTGTCTTTTAGCTTATTGGATATTTTCTTGACTCTTTTTAATTTCTAACTCTTCAAATTTAATCAATTTAGCAAAGTTTCGTGTTAAATAATTCAAATGTCTGATGTATTCTTCATTTTGTTGCTTGTTGTCTCTGCAAACCTTCAGTATCTTTTTAATTCGTATTTTAGTCTTACAAGATTTCTTCAACTACTTTTCTGCTTGTTCTAATTACAATTTAAGATTCTGCTGTTATTATTTCAAGCCTTCTAAATTATTCAGTTCTTTTTTTAAATATCCCTTATTGAAATCCATGATCTTTAACATCTTATAGGTTTGAGCCAGCTATAAATTGTCATAGATGATTTAATTCAATTTTTATCTCATGATCTTTGCCTGATTCTGAAGCAGATTTAATTATGCTGTTGAATGCTGTTGGATATTGCACTTGACAATGGGAAATATTTCAGTTATTTTGTAGACCTCATGAGACAAAGAGTTGGAAGAAAACTACCTCATTTTAGTTTTTTATTTCTTCAACTAATCAAGTATTTACATAGTTTGTTAACCATCATTGGGTGCTGAAGTTTAATTTAACTTAATTGTTTTTGATTCCTCATTAAGATAATTTGAATCTGTGAAATCTGAAGTGATGAACATCAAATTGTTCCTGTGATTATCATTGGGTACATCCTCCTACGTAATCACGGCACTCCTTTTAGATACTGGAGGCAAGGTAACAGCAGATGATCTATTGTATCTTGAACTTGAAATAGTACTAAATTCTATCTATTCTCTTTGTTGTTTTTTCAGGATTTCCTCCTATTCCTTTTATTATAACACTGGAACCTGGGGAATGAGTTGCAAACGAGTTTCTTGTTCCTACTTTTATTCGTACATCTCCTTTCGTTTTCTTTTGGCTTCAAGTGCTATTTTGAGGGCTGACTCTGTGAATGCATTCTCATCCTCAACACTCATGTAATCTGTCGCTGAGGAGAAACACTATTTGATAACGGTAGAGTAATCGCAATTCTTATCAATACTCGTACAAGCCCATGGAAATTGTATCCAAATCCACCTCTTATAATAGTAATCGGTAGATTCTCGCTCGCTTGTTTACATTACATCTTGGGAAAGATTCTCTTCCTTTTATTAAAGGACCTTCCTTAATCTGTTATTAATCTCCTCAGCCAATTCATCCAAACTCTAAGGCTGATCTTCCTCATTTTCTGTTTATTCGATAGGTCTTGATAGCAATGATAGGTAGTGTGTTCTGATCAATTATCTATTCTATTGTATTTCAACATTGAGTGATTCCATGTTGGAAAGCACAGGAGCGGTTTTCGGTTTAGCAACACGCTTTAAATGTTTGGCTGGATCAAACTCCTTCAATTCGGGTGCTTTGTCATAATAAAGATCCAACTTGAGTATTTCTTACAATAATCCAATATCGTATAAGTCACTCAATACTCCTATGATTGGGGGATGCCTAAAAACTGGAGTGTTTTTAGTTTCAAAATCCCCAAATTCTTTGAGAAACCTTGAAATCTATATGATGATCCTGAACATATCTTCTGATGACGGATGATAATGAATTTGGAAACCTTCAACTGCCTTATTGTATTCTAAAACAGGATCGAATCCATTCTCCTCGAGGGATTACCAATATCTACAGAGATCATATTTGTTTGAAGGGTTAAAAAGAAGCAAAAAGTTCTCAATGATGCTTATGACTTCTTTTAAAGAGAAGTAATTCTTGGCACTAAATAATTGGAAAGTCTATTCTTCCAATTTTCTGATGGAATTGGGAGTAATCTTGTCAATAGTTGTGGCTATATTATCATGCAATTCTAAGATTTCCTTGATGTCAACGTAGTAAGTATTAATGACTACTTTTTTAAAGATTTCATTGTGAATAATCCACAAGTCTTTATGTTTCATAATGTACACTTTGAAGAAGACTAGAAACAGTTTCCATTCTTTGATTGTGATGTTACACACACTCTCAATTTCTGGGTATGTCAATCCTTTTTGAGTAAGAGACAAGACTAAGAGAACTCTTCTGAATTTAGCAATTTCCATGATGTTAGCTTTCGAAAAGTAATCCAATTGGAATGCAAATAGATCCTCCACTACTTTCATGGATTTGAAGTGGTTCAAATTGAGCGGTTACAGTATTTGTTCAACAATTCTTTAATCAATTTCATTTTCTTCCACAACTCCTTCTGAGGGATATGGAATGAAGACTGAAAAGTAGGCTCTGACAAAAACTGGTTGATTTCTCACTTTGTAACTTAATTGAATGAATATATCCAAGAGATTCTAAGGATTCTCGTAAGTTAGTTTATAAAATTACTTAAATAAGTAGATGTTTCCCCAAATGGTGATTGACTGTCTATTTCATGACTGTTTTGTCAGATACAATGGGTATCACTTGACAATCAGGCTTCAACAATTTCATCGAGGCTGATTACCTCTCAGCAGTTACAATGACTTTGATATTGGTGGGGAAGTATTTGGGCAACCAAAAATTAACATTGGCTTCACGATGCATGTCCAATAGCTCTCTGAAATTGTCGATGCCTTCAAACACTAGGATGACCTTGGGAATGAGGATGTTTATATACTTTATCATAAATGATTGGGGCTCCATTGATAATTTGTTAGTCCAATTATCTGCTGCAAATTTCTAGCCAATACTGGAAAAATCTCCTGAGCTTCTCCTCGAGCAATTCGACCTTCTGTTTTATATTGAGGGCTTCTCTCAATTTAATGAGGATTCTATAGATGGCATAATAATAATTGCTATTTTTGCCCGATTAGGTGGCAAAGTGGGGAATGATGAAATCGGGATATCGCTATTATTTACTATATTGTTACTCCTTTTTTATTCCGGGCATGGTACTCCATCCATTTGACTAAAAGCGTTTTCTTGCCAATGCCATCATCTGCCTCTAGAACCAAGGGTGTGTTGGTGTGGAGAGTCTTATCTTCATCCAACCATGATTCGATTTCCAGAAAATAACGATCCAATCCACTCGCTTATCTTTAGCCATAATAAAATTAGGTACTGATTTTTGTAGTACTCCACTATCACGTCATTTGAGCTAGGGATTATGATAATTAGGATTACTCGACAAAGTTCATGTTCTCATTCCTCATGGTTTCCAATTTGGATTTGCGATCTCGATCTGTGGGAGTTGAAGCTTAATGAGAATAAGCATCATCCATTATAAAATTTACAAATAATGATTATAGAAATTATCAACTTTCATTTTAACTCAACTCCTTGTAAAAATTGATCAGCATCTTGATCTCATAACTTTGGAAAGTAATGAACTTCCAACCCTTTTCAGGATTGTTCGATTTCGTGTGTATAACTAACTTATTCGGAAAAGATTGTATGTTGTCGATGTCTTTGTACTCAATTTCCTAAATTATCTTTTTGTCCAACGGTGTCAACAAATAGATCTTCGCTTAAGAAAACCCAATGTAGATGTTCCCCTTGATTTCATTGGCCTTCTACTTCGAGAACGCTGCTTGTAATTCTCTGTGCACCTCCAACTTGTAGATGTTCATAGTCGCCTCCTTCTCCTAATAAATGTTCTTCAGGAATTGGTACTAACACAAATACACCATAGACTTCTTTTCAGTCTCCAATTGCAACAATTAGCTGTTGATTTGGGTAATGTATCTTTTCACTTCTGTCTCCCATCTGTGAGGTTCGATCTAATCGAAGATCTCGCTTTTTAAATACTTTGAGATATTCTCGTGTTTCACATCCTACCTCTTGATAATTAGGTAAAAGGCTATGTAGAGAAACAGCTTCTCTCGATTCAGCAGGAATTTGAGTTCTCTGATCTCTTCGAAGAATTAAAGCAAGATATATTGCATTCTCACCTGATCTTGATAAATGTCGACAAACTCGAAATTGGGATTTAAATAAATCACCTTCCTAAACAACAGTCTCTCCTCATTGCTGTTCGTCCAAAATTACTCTATCTTATTGATTGAGGAATTGAGGATCCCACTTACACTTATCTTATGCAATTGCAGTATCACTTCATCATCATCAATCACTCTTCTATTGAGGTATTTATCCTCCAATATCAACTTGAAATCCTGATAGTACTTCAAGTACATTTGCTTAGCCAACACCTTCACTATTTCAGCAGCCCTCGTGATTTCAAAAATTTATATCTTCTCGCATTGATTGTCAATTAAGTAGACATCAATCACCTTTCCATTCTTTTATTATGTCTCCTGAGAAAAATCAGTAACCACAACCACATTGGTGTCCTATATCGTTGAGACTCTAATCTAGCTATTTTTGGCAGAAAAGTAAGCATCCAATATATCTGAGACTCCTTTTATAGGCTGTTCTTACAAAGCCTTCACATGGCTTTAAAACTACCTCTTGACTTCGATATCAATTTAAATGTTCATTTTCGGTAGTTCATAGAAGTTTTCAGGCAAACTTAATAAGGAGAGAATTGATTGATCATTTGGCTATAATCTTTCAGGTTATTTCTAATTGAGAATCAATACTTATTGTATCATCTTTTCAATTGCTATCATTCTTTACTCAATTACCTTTGTTGAGTGATTATTCAGCCAATGATATGAGGAGATATCTTCAAATTTCCCATGAGGATAGCGCTGTTTGAAAATAGTCAATAACTCCAATGCCTTTGAGAATCGAATATATATTTTTAATACAATCCTTTATATCTCTATTTCCACAATGTAGATTGTGTATTTGTTTATGCTGTAGCTGAATCTCTCCTCTGTTCCCACTACTTTAACTGTTATTGGATAAATATCTTACATCTAAGATTTCTCTTTAATATAGTTGATAATCTTTGAGATTTATTTGATTTACTTGTCCTTCATTTCCTTACTCTAAGCAGTGAATTAAATCACATTCTCCTAATTTACTATGCTGAACAGATTTGTGAAATATTTAGTATCCAATTAATCTTTTATTATTGTTTGCGAATCCAACTTGAATTTCATGGCTCTCTTTGCATTACTCTCCTGATCCTGAAACCCTAGCAATATCATGTCTGTGAAAATGTAGAACAACACATTCAATTCCTTGCCCTCCGTAATGACATTGGCAGTATCCTGAAACATAACCAACCTATCCTCATTGTCCGTATAGATCCTGCTATCACTATATTCCTTACTCAGTTCCTACACTCTAGCTCTGTTGATGAATTTATCCATAGACTTATTATTCTCGTCGTTGAGTCTTTCGAATTCTTCTTGCAGGTTCAATATGTTATTCATATCAGGATGGTTACTTCTAGTACCCTTTATTAGTTCTTTCCAAAATAAAATGTATTTAGGTAATCTTTGCACAGGCTTTACAAGAAAATCCACTAATTGCAATCCTCTCATATTCTCTCTGTTCTTTAAACTATACTCCAACTAGGTTTGCTTCTGCATCAATTGTTTTAAAGCTTTAAGCGAGTCATTGTAGTTCCTGCAATAGTGATAATAAGTCTCAAAGCCTTTGACATCCACATTGTCGAATATTACCGAATTCCGATTGATATTCGCTGCTTTGCTCTTCACCTAATCATAGAACTTTTGATTCTCCTTTCTTATATCCGAAACGTTCATGAATATTGCAGAAATGTATTTCTCGTCACTCTTAAATGGCAACTCATTCGTTAGGATCTCCCTAAGCTAAGTATGCTATTGATTATTCTTACATCCTCCAATACACCCAAATCATTGATGTAGTTTAACTCTGTATATAAAATCTCATTTATTACGTGCCTTCGAAATCTCTCCATCTTGTTTGCCTTCTAATTTTTCTTGAATTGATTCAACATTAATGACAAATTCCTTACAACTCTCCTAAGCTTATTCATATCAATATATAATTTAATATATAACTTTCATTATTTCAATTTAATGATCCCCGTAATCTCTCAACGCAATACAATAATTTCAATATTAAGCTATAAGAATTTTGAACTTTCCATCAATCTTTACTCGTATTTAATGAATTTTTGATCACTCATCACCTAATAGTCTAATTACCATGTCTCTCCATATGGTGCGAAAGTTGTTGTGCATTCTATGTTCCTTTTCATAAATTAATTAAAAAATCCGTATCATTTGAAGCCAATACCAAAATAATAAACTCGCTATTTTTCAATGAAATCAGATTTTACTTCTTAATTGATCTACATTTTTACAATCACTACCTAATTTTAATCTTGCATGATTATTGATTATAGCTATGGTAAGAATTATTTATATTTAAAAGAAAATTGTAAAACTACATATACTTATAATATATGACAAAAATAGTATAGTCCTACTTGCAACCAAGAAAACAGAGACTTAAAAATGAATAAACCAAAAGAGAAAATAAATATGCTCATTAGAAATCGATAATTAATAATATCTCGAAATTGATAAGGATGATAAATTAGATAATTAATTGCCTTCATTCGTACTTATTACAATGTAAAAAATGACTATATAGTAAAGAATACTAATAAGAACACTAATAAGATTAATAATAATATTTCTATTATTTCATATATCAATTTTCTACAATGTTTAAAAATTTATAATAGAAAGAATCGATATTTTATTCGAATCTAACAAATTATCATAATCAATTTATGAATTACTATACTATTCTAGGAAATATTGAAAGTGAATTCATTTTACTAATTTTAAAATGGACTTTATATTCCATAAAAATGATAATAGAGGATGATATTTGAAAGAAATCTAACGAAATGGAAGGTCATATTTTAAAAATAATCTAACTAAAATGATAATTAGTATTATCTATATAATGTGACTTAGTAAATTGGATTGAAATCATAATTATCTATTAGTATGGCTTAGTTTGAATTCTTGCGGTATTGTAACTCCAGGTTTCCATTTTGAGGATTTCTTGGGTTCTTCTTTTTTCTTATTGGCTTATTAGACTCGTTCAAAGTAGGTTATGAGTCCTTTTTTATTGAATTCTGATACTTTTGCACTTTTCAGTGCTATCTTTTTATTTACTTAGGGTTTAAAGGGACACAACGATTGACTTTCAGTTTGGACATCCTTTTAATATTAAACAAGTTTCTCCTATTTCTTGGTTTCCCAATATCGATTTCTTTGTTCAAAAGGCATACTAAAATCACAATATTTGGTCTGACTCTTTGAGAGATCAGGTTGAAATGTTGTCTCATTTTCTTTTGATCTTTCCATTTCAATCTGAATTCTCAAAGCTTCCTTCTTTGATTTATAGAATTGATCTAATGTGTATAACTATTCCCATCTTGGAGCGACGCCAGATATTGCTCTTTTCCTGGTTTGCGATTATGATGATTCTTTGATTTCAGGTGTGACTGACCTAGGCTTAGTTAGTCTTTCCTTGGCATCACCCAATTTCTCAGCAATCCTCAGAGACTTTCTAGATAACATGGGTCTGAATGAACATTGCTCAGTTGACGTAAGTTTAATATCTTTTGGCTTATTGTCAATGGAGATGATGAGATTGACTTTATCCTTGTTCTACATCAATGGTTGTTGAACAACCTAAGGGGCCTTGTCTTTTCCGTTGAGAGAATTCAACTTAGCTAATTCTTTTTCAACCAATAATTCTAATTCATCAAGCATTACGTTAAATTTTAATAAATATCATTATTTAATCTTTTTGTGTACTTCTGAATTCTCTTCATGTTCAATTAAGTATTTGATACTCTAAAACTTTCTCTTGCAGAGTGTACAAAACTTAACCTTCAACAATTCCTTCTTGATCTATTCACTCAATTTGATTAGTTCATTCACCTTCTCAACATCTTTGGTCGGTTTTTGTTCTGAGTTTTATGCTTAATAAACTTGATTAGTAAAGTGTCTAGTGACTTTGACTTTGCCACTGCTTTGAGTAGTCTCTTCTGGATGAAAATTCCTATTCTTCACAGAAAAGCTTCTCTCAATATTATTACTCATATAATTAAATAAATATTTTATATACATACATAATAGTATATAATTAAGATATATAAATCATGCAGTCTTATAAATAGAAATTTAATCAGCCATACTGATTTTTTAATCTGGCTGTACCTATTTGGCTCTGATCACACTCATCATTGACCCACTTGAGTCCAAAGCCAAATCAGTCACAACCGTCTCAGACACATGCTACACATACATGGGTTCATTTGGAGCATTTATATTGTAACATGAGATAGAACCATTGGCATCACCCGTGAGAAATATATTTTGATATTTTGGATGCCAAAAGATGGTGTCAACCTGATTCTGATGCAATTTAAATATTTCCATATCCATTTTTCTCAGATCAAACAACAAGGTTTGCTTATCCTTTCCTGTCGTGGCAAAGTAGGTCCCATTTCTATTCCACCTAACCTTCTTAACTCCTAAATTATGTCTTTTTAAATTCAGAATCTCTTCTCTACTAGAAGCATCCCAGAGACGAATTGTCTCATCATCTGCCCCACTGATTATTAAACTGTTTTCTGGATTCCATTACACTGTATACACTTCCTTACCATGTCCAATAAGAGTCTCCCTCTATTCTGATTAGACATCATACAGATAGATCAATTTATCCTAACTCGAAAAGGCAATTTTATGATGATTGGGAGAGAAGGCTCCCTCTGTAATTTACAAGATTTTAGTCTCCAACACTGGCCTCTACTCAAGTCCTCCTAATCCCTTTTCAATAGTGTAGATGCCTCCATTACTTCCAATTCCAAATACTTTATTTAGGTATTCTTAACTTAAGATCCCTACCATTGCTTCGTCATTTGCGAATTTCTTATAATATAACTTCCAATCATTTAAATCAAAGATAGACAAGTGTCCTTATCGCTTTTAATTATTGATCTTGTTATAACCCAAAGCGAAGCTATTGTTTTTGGCTAACCACTAAAATGCATGAAATTTGAATGAGTACTTTGAGATGGGTGAATTTGAGTATCTTAATGACATCCTTCTGGTCTTGATCATTGATGCATCCTACGAATTCAGTGGGGATGCTATACTTGATCTGAGTTTGTACAGGCAACTAATTCTAATGACTGGGATAGCCATAGAGTCTCTCTTTAACATTCTAGGCTGCCTTCTATTGAATACACCATTTGAGGTCTGGCTTGCCCAACATCATCTGCCCAATATTATATATTTTTAATGAATAATAAATTATACCCCTCCCCAGCACAACAAAAATATCATCAGTAATCATTAATTACCTTATTATTATTATTGCAATGCTTTCAACTCTTACTAATACACCTTCTCCCATTCAAATATGGTCTCATCCAAATTATCCACACAATCTTAAAATGCTCCTTTGCCAAACAAGTTCATCTAATGATACAATGGCCTAACTATAACCTTGATGAACCCAATTTCATTTTTGGACATCACGTGCAACTTTGATATTCAATACTCTATTTTACCTTGTCCAAATCTTTCATAAATGGCTATTGAGAATACCCTTTCTTGCCCTCTTCCGCATACTGAGCCCGATACTCTTAATTGATTTTCTCACTCCACAATCTACTTTGAGGCCACTTCCTTGCAGTCCCATTAAAATCAGCAGTGTGAGTGATCATCCCACATAACAACGACAAATCCTCAGGATCATTACCATATTATTCTATCCTGGATTCGAATTCCTTCAGCATCTTGAAGTGCTCCTGCATATCTGTAGACAAGATGTTGGAAATTAGTTATTTCCTAAAAGTTCTGAAATCCTAATCCGAAAAGTTGCAAAGAATATTGGTTTAATCATCTCTTAAAATTTTAATCGTTGTTGCTGCATGATGTTATTCCAGTATCTAATAAAAGAGTTAACAAAATACAATATACCACTTTGTCATGATAACGGATAGCCAATTGACTTATTGAGTTTGCTTCATAGGCATTGGTCTTACCTGTATGAGCAACATCATGACATAAGGCTGACAACAATAAACAAAACTTAGTAATATTGTTAAAGAATTGTTAATCTAATTGTTTTGTCAATGATTTGATGAAACAATTGACAGCCTACATCACTGCGATTCCATGATCGAAATTGTGATATGGGTTGTTGTTCATATTGTATTGAGATTCCATCTCAATCAAGAAGTTGATCAATTTTTCTTAAGGCAACGCAAACATTTAATTAAAGTTGTTTCTTTCTAGCAATGACCATACTATTCTCTACTTCTCCACTGTAGATTTAATCTAAAAATACTAGACAGAAATATTACTAAATGAATGTTGAAATCTAGAGAATCCAACTCGCAGTCTTCTTCTCTAAGAATTAGGTGAGACTCATTAAACTTATTTGGATTAGTTTTCATAAATCTTCTTTCTTCCTCCCTTTGTTTAAAGAAGAAGCTATTCTTTCCAACAACCTGCCCCTTGTCAATTTTTCTAAACACCAAAGTTGGAGTCTTCTAAGTTTGTTAAACATTTGAATTGCATTCTTGTATTTAAGGCATGTACATCGCAACTACAGAGTTTCTGATATCAGGATTAAATTCTTCGAGTTTCTTTATGTAATCCAAGGTTTCTGTCTGCAGCAATTATTGTCTTATAGTCTTTCCATTGGTTGGAGGCTGAGTCTTTTTACGCACCCATTCATTTTCTGAGAGGATCAAAGTGAATCCTTTGAAGTGCTTCTCCTCCTTCCTTATGAATATTTCATATTGCTTATTTTAATCCTCCTCCTGTTGAGTTAATTTCCACTTAGCATTGCTTATGTAATTTTCAATATTTTGAAGCATTTGCTGATTCTATGTGAAGATCTACTTGTAGGTAGAGTCAATTTAGATTTTTTCAATGTGAAATTACATCTTAATCTTCTGTGACAAGGCTCTGCTCAAAAAACGTAAGCGACCCTGCTTATCAAAATCAATCATGAATAAGTTTTTGGATCTTAAAAAGTACTTATAGAATTGCATTCTCTCGTAACACTATTTAATAAACTGCTAGTATCGTTGGTAGATTTGATTGACAGTGTTGTAGATCAATAAGTCTTATTGTTTTTTAAGATCTAGATTGGAGGCAAATAGATGTTGAGAGGAGGAATCCTTAAATTTGAGAGTGATCACATTTGGTTAGTGTTCAGAGATCTCGTGGACCTAATATTGTTTGCGAATGGTTTAGAGTATATTCTCAATGAGTAGATACTTGGAGCATCTTACTATTTCTAGACCAAATTCCAAGACAGTGTCTCCAATAGACAGAATACTGAAGTACTGGACTTTGATTTGTTATGAAGTATATATTACAAATTGAGCTAAATCTATCAAGGAATCCATGTAATTATACTGCTTGGACAACATAACAAATGACATGAAGTTGGGATCCAATTGCATCACAAAGTATTAGTAATCTGTGAGTTTGAGTATAAAATTATTAGGACTTTGGTAGTACTGTTTGAGAGTGTTCAAAGAGTGGACCTCTGTTATTTGTTGCAAATTAACCAAATCATCAAGGACATCTTTGGTGATTTGGAATTCTTCGAACTTGTCCTCCTGGTGGATTTGAACCTTTTGATCTTTGAGGAGTATGAAACTGTAAGTCTGACACCCGATGAGTTGATTTAGGAAGGTGTTTAGAAATGCCTGGATGTCTTTGGGTTCGACTTTCTCATCCATCAATTCAAGGAGTGAATTCATGTAACGAGAATACCTTTGCTAACTGTAAGGACTACATTACCTTAATCTATTAATAGTTTGATTGGAGGAGTTCAACAAAGGAGTAATCGACATCTTCATCTTGATCCAATGAGTCGAGTATATTTCTGAGTTGCTCAATTTTAGACTTAAATTCCTAAGTGATCTAATGCAAAATAGGCTAAACTCAATTACTTGTTGATTGGCATATTGTTGCATGCATTTCAATTGGATGATTAGTTGATCCATGAGTTAGATGGTTTGAGTCTATGTGAAATATATATCTGCATTACTTGAAATTGTTGTCCTTGTTTTTTGGATGAACAAAATTCTTGAGTGTGTGATTTGGAACGAGTCATCTGGAAAGAAGACAAGAGTGACAGCAATTCCGATTTGATCTGGGTGTCTTCCTATTATTTAGACAATAGCAGCATGAGAGAGGGTTCTTTTACAGTTATTTTCTACTTGATGATTCTTTTCTCTTATTGTGTGATTAGACCCTCTGATTCCATTTCTCCTAAGACTTGGAAGAAGTTGATGTACCCGCAAAGACTGGGTGACTGAGAATCCTCTTATTTCATTTATTAATTAATGAAAAGAACAGTTGATATTTACAAAGCAAATGCAAAGAAACCAAAACAGACGATTAGTAGCAAATCACAGACGTCATATGCAGCATACTTGAATAGTGATGTGAAAACCATTGCTAAATTGTACTGATTGATAGCATTTTCATGAGGAAGGAAAACCTTTCCCAAATCACCAACAATTACTTTATCAAGAATCTACGCATAGAATAGACACAGAAATCCAGTGCCAAATAGCTTAAGACCAATTTCTCTTAGTTGCGATAGCCCAGATCTGCTACCATTGATGCCAAGAACTTTTAAAAAAGTATTTTGAGTTCATTAAAATAGAAATATCCAGACCCTATGAATCACTGTAACCAAAACGATAAACAGTAGTTGAATCCACTTAGAATCTGATTAAATAATATGCCAATCAAAAGCAGAAGACCAATGTGGATAAAAGAAACTTATGGCATAATTTTGTAACAGAATCTATATTCATATTTTACAGCTTAACAATTCCATCATTGATTAATAAGTACGCAGAGCTCAAAGTTCGAGTACTCACAACATGCGACAAGAACCTAAAAGCGATCTCAAATATCGATCAGCTTAATCCTTACATTACAATCCTGATTTCCTACAATTCAAACTATCCTTTAACAGCAGAACTAGACAAGGTCAATTGGCATCCAATCCCAATAAAACCAATCAAGACATTTTTATTTGTGAAACCAACATCGTCTCTGATATGCATCTCTTCTCTGTATGTGATGGTCACGGATAAAATGGGCATTTTGTTTCATAATATGTTAGAGATCATTTCACTAAAATACTCAAAAGAGATCATCAACTGAAATAACATCCCAGACAAGCCTTAGTTAAATCCATTTCTGTACTAGCAAACCTAATTAATTAACAACCATTTGACACTCAATTCAGTGGCACCACTATGAATGTCATCTTAATTCAAGATGGTGGACATCTAATTTGTTCCAATGTTGGAGATAGTAGAGCAATAGTTGGAAAACTGGGAAACAATCAAAAATTCAAACCATTCCCCCTATCCATCGATCACAAACCATGTCTTGAAAAAGAAATGAATAGAATACAAATGCATGGGGGTAGAGTAGATACTTACTACGACGATCAAGGTATCATTCATTAATCCATTAGGTAATTCGATTGGACCAGCTCGAGTTTGGGTTAGAGATGGAAATTATCCAGGATTGGCTATGAGTCGTAGTCTTGGTGATTAAATTGCACAGTCAGTTGGTGTTTCTAGTGTTCCTGGTAATTTTCTATAATTTCTATAGCTTTTAGAGATATTTGAATATTAATTGACTCCTTAGGATAAATTCATTATTTTAGGAAGTGATGGAGTCTGGGAATTTATTGATAATCAAAGTGTAGTCGATATTGTAGGCAAGCATTATCTTTAAGGCAATTTGGAGGGAGCCTGTGATGAATTAATGCAAATCTCCTATAAAATGTGGACTTTAGTAAATAATTATATCATAAAAATAGGAAGATGATTCAGTAGTTGATGATATTACCTTCATAGTTATATTCATAAGTTGATTAGATATTATCGTTAATTGATTTTTTGCATTTAATTTTATATTAATTTGGGTTTCTAAAATTATAGGATAAAATAGATTGGCTCAAAAGTAGGATCTATGAAGAGGAGATTTATATTAATTAATTATTCAGAGTTAATAATATATAATTCAAACTTTTATTGGATTTCTTCTTGTGAAAATCTAATAATTCAAAGAATGAGTAGAATTCCTTTTTAGTATCAAATTTTGCTAGTCGTAATTATAACTAAATTGTGAATCAAAATATTTCATCTAATTATTTTGATCCAAGACTTTTGTATTGAATCAAATCAATTTTATAGTGATAATGATTATAGTGTTATTATTCAAATGATTTCTTTTACTTTTTTACATTTTAATATTATTCTTCCATGAGGTTCTTCTCTGATTGATTAATAATCAAGACGAGAAAGAATGGATTGCAATTCCTCTGTTTGCATATTATTTATTCCACCATATTTCAATTTTATTTATTCATTTTATCATACTACAAACTCTTTCAACCTATATGGTCCATATATTTTAACCTTTTATAATAAATATAAGTCATTTAATGTTAGATGAGATATTAAGTTGAAATCATCAAAATACATGATATCTGTACATCTTAAATTGATATTTAGATAACCAAAAATATCTTTATAAATAAATCATTTCTTGAATTTGATAGTATGAAACAGCTGCTTTTCTTCTTATGATAGCTAACACATATGAGTAACCTGTCTGTAATAGAAATCTGCTTTAACTTATTCATCTGTCTCATGGAAACAACTGATTAATCTATAGTAATTCTTAACCTCATATTACTAAGATATTAATTAATCTCAAATAAATACTTTGTTTCTCATTTAGCCGATCAAAGGCTCGAGTACTGAGATTGCTTATTTATAGTCTTACAGCTTTATCAAACATTAAGCCTTATTACTTGATAACGCCAACAAAGAATTTCTTTTGGCTTCAATAGCTACAGGATTGCTTTCAAATTTTTTAGGCCATTTTTCTAGAAAGTTTAGTCCTCTTTAGTATCTCAATAACGCACTTTGATACTACTGCTTTTCGTAGAATTGATTTCCTTCAATTTTAAACAGTTCCATCTACTTGAGTCGACTTTAATATAAATGAGGTTAATACTTATCTAAACTTGTTAGATCAAGAGGGATTTCTGGCTGAGTGACTTCTAATATTTCTATTTTGAAATATTTTTGTAAAGTTTGGACTGTAATTCCACTTGCAATTTCTTATTCTGTGTACATCTATTCATTTGATAATTTGAACCAAGCCACATCTCCTTCCTTCATTGATAGAAAAGCAGATCTTAACCCTTAGATATATGGAATGCTGGATGCCATGGATATTTTAGTGGCCTGAATATTATTTGTACCCTTATTAGCTAGACTTCCATCCAAATCTCTTTCCTCACATTTAAGTTTAATTTTAGATTTAAAGTTGATCTGTTTAGAATTCTCAGTTGTTTCACTCTCAAAAACTACAAATTTGATCAGATTCGGATTTATTTCAATTGATTTGTACTAAGATAGGAGTTAATCCATGTCTAATTTTTCTGGTAATTTTCGCTCCTTAATTACTGGGGGATTGGCAGCAATAATTTAATGTTGCAATTCTACTTCCTCAAGGGAAAACCAACTTGATTAGTTCATTATTTAATATTGAACAACATTCTAGTCGAGTTTATATATTATTATAAAAATGAACTAAATTCAAAGTCTAAACAATTATTATTATCTATAATCAGTCTTACAAAAATTAATCAAAAGATATCTTTTATAAACGATTAGTACTTCTCTTTTATTTTAACACTCTATCAAAATTCTTCTTATCCTTCTTCGTATCTTCTTGCAATTCTGAAAGTTCTGTTATAATATGGTTTAGTTGATGATTCTTAATCAAAAATCTCAATGGTAATTGTCCATATGATTAACTCTATTTGTGAGACTTCATTCCTTTCTATTTAATAATCTCTGAATCCTTGTACTTCTCTAATTCTCCTTGGATGTCGTAACTCTATTGTATTCTCCAATCTCTCAGTATTTTCTATCTTAATCTCTTCTCTCCTTCAATAGTACCCAATTACAATTTGGTTACCAATTCGCGTTCATTAGTATAAGTAATTTATTTATGCTTTTCAGTGAGATTCTTAAATCTTTCCTTATTAGTATTCTAATCCCACTCCCAATGAGCAAATCTCTTCAGAACACCCTTGGCTGTCTACATACTGAGCGTATAAACATTATGCATACTTGGTTTACTTCAAATATTATCGACACTGCTTTTTCGACCAAAGTTCGCTCGTAAGCATAGAACCCTATCTCTAATGCTGATAAATTCCACTCACAATGGGTCTTAGTTATTCGTCTGATTCCACTTCACCCTTTTGAAACGAAAATTTTGCAAATGTTAATGGTCTAGTTGTAAGAGTGGATGTCAATTATTCAAACATATTTTGATGATTTCTTAAGAACCTTTACTGAATCCGAAATTATTCATTGCTGGCTTCATCCAAAAGTATATCATTCTATCCCAAAATATCCTTTATTCTTAACTTTAAAAAGTTTCAATGAATCAATACCTTATTCCTGTTATTCATAAAGTATTAAATTATATTATCAAAATATTATAATAAACTGAATGAGAATCAATTTAGGATATTTATTAAGCAGTCTTATTATGAAATGATAGGCAAAGTCGAATCCTACTCAATATCAATAGGCTATACTAAATCTTAATTTATAATTTACTTATATTGAAAATCAGTCAGCTATCTTATATTTACTATTGAATAAGGTAATAATAACACAATTACTCATCAATTATTCATGGTCTATTAATTAGATGCTGTTTTTTGTTTGAGCATTCACAAAAATGGAAGTTATTTTTGATAGATAAAATGGTCAATATCTCAAATAATTTGTCCTATAAACAATCTGACTAATTAACATCATAAATTAATGAGTGCTTTAATATTACATTAGTTGGGTATTTTAACTAATTTATATGCAATTAATAATTTGAATTAGAACTGATTATTATTATGAATATATTCAAAATCCTATCAAATACTTATTAATGATAAGTAACTCTAATTATCTTAAATAAATTCTCAGTTAAAATAATATAATATTCAATTTAATGATTCAAATAATAATTTCAATAATTATTCAATTAATTATACCTTATTTAAGATGAATATCAAAGAAACTATTATGAATATTGGATTAATTGTGAATTCAATGTATGAAAGCCTTATTATTATAATTTCTGATATAAATATTTAAAATATAAGTGAAATTATTTTAGAGATAGTAGATTACAATAAATTAATGAATAGGAGCAGTTCTGATTTCTAAAATGTTATTGAATGAATTAGAAATTAAAATATTAAAAAGGAATCTCCATTAACTAAATGTCAAATAAATTTTTCCCTTGAACTTTAGATATTCATAATTTTTAAACTATTTTAGGTCAAGAATCTTATCCTAGCGCGGTCAATAGATGAAATCTAGAGAAATAAGAAATTAAACAGAATTTGATTTATTAAAAGAGTTTTAAATTAAATGATTTGTGATTATTAATTTTCATGAAAAAGGGCGGAAATATCTTGTACGAATTATGTTAAGAATAAAAAATTGAATCAGATTGTTAAATTAATGATATTTTTGCAAATTACAACTCTTCAATTTTGATAGTTTCTAAAACGCTGAAAAATTAAGAGATAGTCATTCTTAACTTATATTAATTCAAAGAAGGATTGATGAAATAATTCTAGATATAGTCTCATTCCTAAACGGCCATTTACCGTACACCTAATTCAAATATGTTCATTTCTTAACATATCTATGATTATGAAATAATTTTAAGAAATTAATCTTATGTAGCTTTGAACAGTTCCAAATATTTAAATTAAATGCAATTTTAAATCTATCAGCTAGGCAATGGTAAAACATAAGTTAATCTTGCAAAAAGGAATCATATTAAGTTTTGTTATTTTACAACTTATTATGAAAATTTTTAATTTGTCATGAATGATTAAGAAGATATATGTATTTATTCATATAAGATAAAAATTGTTAAGGAATTAGCCTTTAGAAATTACATGAAAAATGTTTCTAAATCAGCAATAGTCTTTAATAAGAAGTAGAAAGGTGCATGGGTAAAATTTTAGAAAATAGAAGATAATTATTATGTTTAAGCCATGTTGTTCAATCAATCAACATAAGAATTAATTTGTAGCTGCGTTGACGAATATTAATCAAAAGGGTTTATTAATATTTTCAAATTGAAGAATGGATCAAACTGGTCCGTTACAAAATAATTAAAAATTGTTCATGGTTAGAATTCTTTATATTTTCTAAATCAGAAAACCCTGGCAGTATTCTATCACTTTGATTACCAATTAAACCTATACCAACTTTAGGAGAATGGTTGGTTTAAAAAGTTTAAATGCATAGAAGTTATGGAAATTGATGAATCATTACAGGATGATAAATAGCAAGGGGATCATTAATCTCAAAAGGATGAAAATTCAGTAAAGGATTTTTGCGCAGTTTAATTAAGTCAAAAATAAAAAGGAAACATAATCTTTTCTGAGTGCATGCAATTTCATATAGTTTATAACAATACTACTCTCAATATTATTGATATCAATGCTGAAGAGGATTAAATTTTACAAAAAAGGATAGAAATTGCTAAAACTAATTCTTTTGGGTATAGCTCAATAACTTAAGATGGGAAATACTATATAAATTTTAGTAATGATCAAAAGAAATTATAGATTTATAAGATCGATATTATAAAAAAATGAGTATTATGAATTTTAAGAATTTCTTTTTAATTATTCAAATTAATCTTAAAATTAAATCTATTTTTGGTTTTTTTTAATCTCGTAACAGTTGAATAAATCTAATATTATAATAGCATCAATCATAGACTGATTAACCTTATTTTATATTAAATCATAATTCTAACTATTTCAAATCTATCAAACTAATTTAATAATTATTCTTTATAATTATAACATATGTGGAAATATTATCACATTGCTTTAATAAGAGAAAAAATAAATTAATATGAAAATTGTATTTAGTTAGAAAAATTTATATTATGGCATTCATCCTTTTCCTAAAATGGGATAACGAAAAATTTGATATTTCTTCGTATAATTAATATGATATTAAACTTGCCTATGAAATTTTTCAATCTTCATCCCAAATGACAAGTAAGTTATAATGTATAAGAGTAATAATATAATATCTCATATTGAACCATTAAATAATTACAAAGTGATGTAATGCAATACATCCGAAGTCGAGATTGTACTACATTATTTATTGGAAAGAAATTCTCCACTCTTTTGTAAAATTCATTAAATCAATAATTATTATTAATGGAGCGATATACATGGCTTGAATTTTGTGTAAAACCTTCCCTCATCAAGGAATACGTAATTCACCCTTCTTAAATAGATGAAAGCTTTAGATCTACCCAATCAAAGAGCGCTCTTCCAAACCTATCTAGATCATTTGCAATCTGTGTGTTTAGAGGATTCAAAATTTTAAGGAAAGAAATTCAAAAGACTCTTATAGGTAGTATACTAAATTAATGAAATGTATACACCTATTCTTAGTGATTTCTCTAAGAAGAATCTACAATTCGAACTTGTCTAGCACTATTTCAAAGGAGTCCAATAATCAGAATACTATAAGTTATTATTTTCTGCTTACACTCTTGAATATTTAACAGAGTATATTTTACATAAAGAAATAACTCCAGAAAGATTGAATTCAATGATAAATCTCTAAGAGTTAGAATAAAATTTGTCTAATTCCATTGAACCTATTGCAATTCTCAATGTCTAGAGATTAATTGAATTCTACATGCTACAAGAAGAACAAAACATTGAACATCTATTTTATATTCACGATAAACTTCAAAAGACTTTAACTGAATTCCCAGTTGGCTATTCTAGTGAAAAAATTGAAGACTACAGATATATTATTCTATAAAGTAAAGATGAGTTGTCACCTGTAACTGATTCTGATGAATCACAAGAATAATAGATTGTGTAAAGATAGACTAAGACAGTAACAAGATCCTTCATTGAGAAGGAGATTTTGGATGGGCCCAGTAGTACCAGGATAATTGTAATTTATCTTCAAAATGGCATATCTACAAATAATAGAGAACTGCTATTGTAATTGCAAAGAATAGTTAATGGGGCTGATCCATTAGTTGATAAATTGATCAGTATTTTCCTGAAAAATTCTCAAATTTCTGAAATAGATTTATTGATTAGATAACTCGAAGTCTCTGCAATCTCTGAAATCAATATCATAAGCATTATTGCTTAATTGATTTGTAAATTTGCCAATGGAAATAAGGATTCTACTAAAGTTCTTATAAATCTGATTAATAAATTTTATAAGACCTTACAAGATTAAACAAGAACTGTAATAGATTAAGTAAAAAGCATTTAAGAATTTGTTGATATCATATAAAAACAACCTATTTCAATGCCTTTTAAAATAGATTAATACAATCAAAATGTATAGCTAGCTTTGTCTTTAATATTAAGTCACTCTGATATTAAATTGTTTCTTGATTAAATATAGGATTTATTTACAAATTGTTTGGACAATCTAACTTTCTTTATTGAAAATTGTTTATCCAAATTTATCTTAGAGTAAATTTAGGCTTTAATTCTGAAATCAATAACAGAATATAACCCACTTGATTTTAATAATTACTATTCCTTAATGCCCATATTAAATTAAGATTTTCCACCATTTGAAATCAAACTCCCACATGATGTTAAAGTGAAATTGTTGATAAAATCCTTTAAAAGAGAGAAAATTGTCACTATTCAATAATTTGATTAAAGTTTGTTAGAAGATAAATTGTAATTTAAATACTCCAAATTATACAAAAAACAATCGCTATTTCATTATAAAAATTAATAGTATAATAAATCTATCAGACAAATTGTAAAATACTTCGAAGCATATCTATACATCCCTTAATTTGAAGTACATTAGTACATTGCTGAAATTCGAGTTTTGGAGTGTCTTTTTTAAAATTTTAAATCTATTGGAGGTATTTGAATTAATTAATTTTTCAGCATCTACCCATTCTTTGATTGCCAGTCAATTTATTTGTTATACTTTGGAGAATTAAATATTTGAAAATTTGGATATTTCTGAAGAATTGGCTTAATTCTTCTTTGATGGAAGAATGATCGAAAAGATTTGTGCTGCTAATCGCCACAATCAGCAATTGCTCAAATTAATGGTATAAAGATTGTAAGATCCAGATTGTTATGTTTTTAAGACAAATAATTTATTATTATAAACCCAAGAGAAATACTTATCCATGTTTATAAATTATTTAAGTGAAAAAATGGTGATATGATCATTCATATAAAATTATTATATTATTGTTGATTGCAAACCTTTTTAAGAATTTTTTTTTCATTTATTCCAAAATGCAAAATATAGCCTTTAGGTAAGGAGCTATTTTAAAGATTTCATAACTTTGAAAATAACTCATTATTTACTATTAAATTTCCTAATTAATAATTGTCTTCCCCATATTTTTCGGTCTATCTTCATTTTAGGTTGATAATCTTAATTTTAAGTCTTCATTTTTAATAAATAGGATTTATAAAAATCGATGGAAAAAAATAATTTAAGATGGATTAGATTGACTATTTTATTAAAATTAACTCCTTATTTACTAAAATTACAGGTTTTCAATTATTACCACATGTTGGTCTTTAGTTTATTAATATAGAATATTTTTATATTATTGAGTTCTAGTTATGAATATTAATTGCACTATTTTCTAATTGAAAATATTAAATATTATTGATCGCATTTTTTGTTTGTTCTGGTTAAGCTGCATTAATAAAATATGTATGAATTGCTATTGAAATGCAAAAATTTACATTAAAAATACCATAATAAATTTATTTTATTTATTTTTGAGTTCTAACATTCTATTATGAGCGATTTGTGCTAGATTGCTGGTCATGATGGTGAGTATCTAATGTATGTTTGTCAAGAATTGTAATGCATTGAACTACAGAATAACAAATTACTGTGTTAGAAATGTTTATGTGAACATCGAGGTTTGAATTACAATAAACTAAAGGAGAGGGCCTTTAATAACTATATTTAGTACTAAAGTAATTTGGAATAGGATATGACAGATAATTAAAGTTTGCAAAATAAAATAGAGCAAGATATTAAAGAAATATAAACAAAAGTTTTGAAAATTTGTTCTGAATTATAAAAATCTTTGATTGAATTTGTTGATCAATAAAGTAGAAAAATATCGATGAATAAAACAAATGCAGAAAAGTTAATGCAAGATTCTAATCCTTCGCTTGATACCTATATATATTTCGCTAAATTTTCTGATGAAAAAAAAGTCCATGAGTTGGCCAAATAATAAATTACTTAAACAATTGATGATTTAATTTCGGATTTCAAATAAAAAATAGAGTATCTAAAGCCATCAACCATTAATGGAAACAGTATAAAAATTGAGGAACAATCATTTAAGATAGAATCAATCTTTTAGAAAAAATCTCCTTTCGGATACTGCCATGAACATTGTAAATGGAAATCTTCAATATGCACCAATATTAAATGTTTAGAGCTAAGTGATTTAGAATATCATTGTGAAAGATGTTGCAAAACTTCTCATGCCGAGCATTTTTTAAATGATTTTTTATATGAGTATGATAAATTGAAAAAAGAATAAAATTTGAAATTATCTTTTATATCAAATGAAAAACAAGCAATTAAAGTATAGGCTTAAAAATTAATAAATGATTTGATAAATGATTTAAGAAAATTCCAGAAAGAATCATATTTTAAATATGATGAGGAGATTAAAATTATAAAAGCATTTTTTTAAGATTTTGAAAAAGATTTGTCTTATTAAGAAACTAAATATGTTTTTGGTGATTTATTATTTTTAATCATTTCCACTAATGAAGAAGAATTTTAGTAGAAATTGAATTAGCAGTACCAAAATTTTGAATAAAAACTTTAAAGTTGTAGGAAAAAGATTGCAGTATAATTTTCAGAACAAAGCTAAAAGTTATAAGAGAAATAGGATGAAATTATGAGGCTAAAGAAAACTATACTAGAACTAGATTAGATCCTTTTTGAAAAGGAGTTAGAAAATAAGTCACTAGAAAATTAGATTATATAAATTAATACAGAAAAAAATTTAAAAGTAGCGTCATAATAAAATCCGAGATATGATTAAGTTTAACGATAAAAATAATAGACATACGAAACATTACCATGGAAATGTCAATAAAAATATCAATACCTACCATATCCACATCCATAACAAAAGGAATTACATTAACTATCTAAATATCAATAAGAATCAATATAAAATTAAAATTATAGAAATTACGACAACTCATAAAAACCTACTCAACCAATTGCATTTTAAGAGAAATATTTAGCATCACCCCAATAAATTTAATGGAATTAACAGAAAAAATGATGATCTATAGAGATCACAAAAATGATAATATTGTACAAGTTATTAAATCATCTTAAATCAAATTATTATTTTTCTTAAATCAACTTATCACATTATGTAAACAAATTTGAATACTATCCTAAGCTTGGAAAAAACTTACTAAACATAATTTAATATTCTTTATAAAGAGTATAATTATATATAATAAACTATTATGAGTCCATCTAATTGAAACTTCTTAAATTTATTAAAATTTGAACAAAATAACATCAACAAATAGAATCATTATTTGAATAGGATATGATTATTTTACTATAAGAGATTAAAAATATTAATTATTATATTCAGAAACTAGAGAACTCTTCTCTAACACATTGATAATTGCTATTTATTAAAATAAAAATATATATTAGCTGAGTTTGAGAAGGTTCTTATCGTTAGAGTTTGATAAAGATTACTTGTTTCGTTTCTTGCTTGAAAATAAGATGGGATATTTAACATACTATTTCGTAAGTAGAATCCGAGGTGAATTCATATTAATGCTATTTACATTTTATTCTTAAGAGCTTTTTGAGAAAGATAAGGTATTCCATTTTGTTTGTCAATTTCTATTGGATAATTCTATTATTGAATCCATAGGCTGTTTTTAAGAATTAATAATTTAATTGTAACATCCCTCAATAGCGTTAAATATAAATAATTTATCTAAGAATACTACAATAGTTTTATTCAATCATTTTTTTAAAACGTTTGGCCTCTTGATCTTAGCACATTTGGGACATTCCAAGTGTTTCTTAAAATCACTTACATAAGTCATTTATGTGCCACATTGGGGACATACGGTACTTTTTTATGGTAAAAATTCTTTCTTTACTTACTTTTATTAAATTTAATCCTTTTAGTCAATATCTTCTATTAAAATGAGATCATTTATCTTATTTTTAATTTGTTATTACTCAAATAGATTTAATGAGTAACTCTATTTGATCTTCATTTATTATATTTGTTAAAAATTATCTTTGAACTAATCTAGCTCTTTTTATTTAGATAAAGTATAAATATTGATTTCATTCTTTAGTGTTTAATATTGATTTGCTAACTTATCTATATTTTGAATAACCTTTTAGAATTAGTCAATTTGTTTCTGCCTAAATTGTTGTAATTTCTAATCATAATTCCCTATTAGATTATTAAAGTATGCTTCAAAAAATGAAAGGTATTATTCCTTCCATAACTTAAGATTCATTAAATTTTCATCTTCATATGGCTTATTTATTTCCTAATAAATAGTAAATGATATAAACTTAAACAATTTATTCTTTGAAATTCTCTAATTCATTGTTAAATTATTTGAATTTTTATTGGCATTCTAATGAGACATCTTAATATTTTTTGATTGATGACTAAGTTTTATTCTTATTGTGTTGCATTGTGTGATTTGGTATGCACTCTACACATAAAGGCTCGCAATGCCATTAAGAGATACAGCAAATCAAAGTTGCCTCTATGTTGTGTTCTTAACAAATACATTTTTAATCATCAATCATATTTATATAGATAATATTAAATGATTTTAGTAATTGTTTAAAAATATATCAAGAATAAGTTAAACAAGGCTTAACATTTTAGAAGTCATTTTAAAACGCTGATTTAAATTATTTTATTGTTATTACATTTTTTTAGAGATATCTAATAGAATAAATATTTCCTCATCCTCATATATAGTTATTAGGTCTAGATTACAATTTAATGCATAGGGCATTTTGTGAATCAAAAACTCAAAACCTTGGTAGAATTAAAAAGGTTGAACTTTATTTCCAAATACCTTATTTTAATGAATATATGCTGCTATGTTTTAGGCTTTGGAGTTTTGATAAGATGCTATAATTGATGTTTTAGATTATTGCTATATTACATTTAATATTTTTCTAGTTTTTTCAGAATTATATATAATAGAATATTTTTTTTATAGTAATGGAGCGAAGTTCCTTCTTCCAAAATTAATATTAATAATCTTAACATATGCTTGCATCACCACCTAGAGGAGGAGTGAATAAGGGATAAATTCTACCCTTAAAGTGCAGCTGCCCGCCTGACTGCTAATGTAAATCTGTCGAAAAAAGAGAATGGCATCATAAGCCATGCTCAGAATAGTCATACATTAGTCAATATGGAGACATATTTTGTAGACATCACCTAACAAAATGCAAAGGGTATTTTATTAAAGATGCTTCCTTTTAATGTGCGGCTGCACAATAAGCTAACACTTGGAATTAATATAGAAATGCTTCATAATTTTTGATGGCAATAGCATAAGGGCTTCAAGCCGCCGAAATTACTCTTGATGCAAATGATTTGGTAAATTTTGCCGCATGTTTAAATACAGAAGTAATCAGGAGGTGGAATTAATGATTTTATTAAATTTACCATCGAATGGATAATAACTTAATAGAATTTTTTTTAAACTAAATAATATATATATCTTACTTATTACTATTTAAATTCTATTTTATTTTATTAATTTTAGTCTAATTTAATTGATAAAATTATTATAGAGAAACCGTTTGGCATTATTGGAGTGAAGATTATTAAATAGAGTACAATCAGATAAAAGAATTAGCATATTGTGAATTTTGAATTAGAATTAAATCTATCAAATTATTTTTAATTAAGAATAAGAAATGAGATCCAATCAATTTTTCCTTATTTAATCTGAATCCTTTATTTTGTATAATTTTAATTATCTATTAAATTTATATTATAAAACTATTAAAAGTAAAATAGGTAGTATCTGATAAGTGTTAAATAACCACCAAATATGTATAGATAATGAGAAATTAGAGTATTAGTTATTGACGACAGAATTCTTTTATTAAATAAACAACAATTATAATTTAATACTTTTTATATATTGGGTAAGAAGAATTTCAAATGGTTTAAATACTTATTTGGGTGGATATAATTAAAGTAATTAATGTCGATTAAATTAATTATTTGAAAAAATGATAATATTTATTTATTTCTTTGAATTCCAGTCATAAGTATTTTTTATATTTTATATTAAAACAGATGAAACATCATTATGAGAGTGATGAGGACGATGAAGAGTTGAAAGTAATGAATCTCGAAATCATTAGATAGGGGATGTTATCTAAGGAAGATTCAGTATAAGTTAGAAAATTGGAGAGGGCTCTTTCGGGTAGGTTTATAAAGTGATAGATCAAAAAAGCGGGGATTAGGTGATGGCAATGAAAGTCGAAGTTGAGGAGGAAGATTATAGTATGTTGGAGAAGGAAATCAAAGTATTGATCGAAATGAGGTATTGGGTAAGATGATAAATATTAGAAAAAAAACTGGATTCCCATAAATAAAGTTTTATGGATAGGAAAAGAGATTCACATATTGCATAATGACGATGCTCGGAAAGAATTTAGAATCTGTAGTAAGAAAGTGCGGAGGCAATTTTGATTTAGGGACATCATTAAAGATCGCGATTCAAGTAGGTCATCGATACAATATATAGTGAATAGATGATAGATAGAATCGAAACCCTCCATAATTGTCGCTTCTTGCATAGAGACATTAAACCTGATAATTTCGTACTTGAGGCAGGGCCATCACCTAAAATAATTTATCTGATTGATTTTGGACTGTCAAAACACTATATTGTATTTAGATGTGATTAACTTAGAACTCCAAAGGGGATCACATATAATATATTAAAAAAGCAGGTTTGATTGGAACAGCCAGATATGCCAGTATAAGTGCTCATGATGAAATGGAGTAAGGAAGGAAGGATGATTTAGAAAGTATAGGATACGTGTTGATATATTTGGCAAGTGGAACCCTGCCTTGGATGAATCTGCAGATTGAATAAAAGGATTTAAAATATGCTAAAATTCACCATATGAAGAAGACAATCAAACCAGATGTGTTATGTGCCAAACTGCCAAGGGTATTTAATATGTATAATAACAAAGTGTTTCACAAAGTTCATGTAGGATGTAAGAGGCTATGAATTTAAATAATAACCAAATTATTAACTATTGAAGAGTTATTTCTAGGAGGAATTGGAGTAGATTCAAAAGGAACGAAAGGGATAATTTTAGTTTGATTGGGAGAAACTACCTGAGTACTAATAAAAGAAAAAGCACCTTACAGTTCATATAATGTAATAAAGTAGCAAAGAAGAAAAGGTTAATTTGGTCAAATAGAAGGAACCACCAAGAGTAATTCCTCAAACTTTCGAACAAATTATGCAAGATACTAAGAAAAAGAAAAGTACTAAAAAAACAACTAGTCATAAGACAAAGAAGAAAGATCCAATTATGATAAATATAGCAGAACCTGAAAGTCCTGCATAGATGCCTTCTTTTGGAAATTTAAATCTAAAGCCCTATCCTTAATAAAATTCATTTTTGCAAATACCACAATTAAACTCAAGTGGATTAATAGATTATTTGCCTTCTTTAAATCCCTCAGTTGCCACATCTAAAATGAATAACTACCATCAGAGTGAAGATGTCGTTAGTGAGGGTAGATTGCCAATTTGGGAATTGGGAGATGGTCAAATCCCAGGATTTCAAAAAATGATTGGATACGTGACCAAAGGGATAAAAAAACCAAATGCCGATTTTTAAAGAAAAAATAGAAAGGCTCACACATGTATGCATGATGAGTATTTTTAGAGATTGATACTATCAAAAAGATGTCTTAAAATTTAGTTCAACCTAAAACTATAAAAGGAGATGATGAAGGGATTCCTGAGGGATTAGATTGATTCTATAATATAGAATATAAAATATATATTGATTAAGAATTTCGTATTTTAATTCAACAACATCCATCGTTTTTTGAGTTTGATTTCTTAGTGTCTTTTACATCTTTGATTTAGAGACCTTTCTTTTTCTTGCCTTTGCTTTCTTAAGCCTAGACTTTGATTGAGATGCCTAAGTTAATCAAATGTATACTTTCGCCTAAAGATCTAAACAATTCAGTAATGCCTACCCCTGCTTTGGCTGACGTAAAGAAATGCTTTGCTCCAATCTTTTTGCAATACTCTTCAACTTCATTTTTATCAATTTGCATTTAATTCTTCATATCGCACTTGTTTCCTGCAACAACTATTGAAATATCTTTGGTTCCAAATTGTCTTAACTCCTCTACCCATTTTTCTACCTATAAGTTGATTTGAATGGTCTACTTTCAGGAATGACTCTTTGTAAGTGACATCATAAACAAGTACAGCGCCATAAGCATCTCGATAATATACGGTGGTCAGTGCATGAAATATTTCTTGACCGGCAGTGTCCTTTAGAAATTTATTATTCAAATACCCAAATTGCCAATTTAATATCCTTGCCACCTCCGAGGTCTACAACTTTATCAAAATAAGTGGCATTGACAGATGATTCTTAATTTTCATTAAATTGATCTTAACAATATCTCAAAGTCAGACAAGTCTTCCCTACTCTTCCTAAAGATAAAATGAATATATCTCACCCTCTCCGAGCATTACAATCTTTATTGGTGCACTCATTCAATTTAATATTTATATATATAATCAAGTACTAAATAGTGGTGTGAGTTTTGCAAATTCCTTATAAAACAAATTTCGTTCCTCCTTCTTTCCTCGTTTCTTCTTGTTGAATTTAGCTTTCTCATAGAAGAACTTGGTTTCATTTTCGCATGCATTAAATAGTCCATTGATATCTTGAAGTATGGTCTAAACAAATGAACTACTTTGACTGATAATATCATAAGTAATGGGACTAACTATTGTCAACTAGAAGTCCTCTTTTTCCAAATAAAAAAATGGACTATTATCGAATCATATAAATACTTCTAGTCAAAACCCTTATAAAAGATTCCCATTGAATGAGGATTGAATTTGGTGCCGTAGAATTCTAGAAATTTGTAAGTAGCCAATCCAATTGAATGGAATCCAGCGTTTTATTAATAATAGTACTCCAGAAAGGCCACAACTATTAGTACTAAGCAGAACGATGAAATTCCACCTTTAGATTAATCATTTAATCCTCTCTTTTTCAGTAAACTTTTAAATAAAAGTGTTATAGTTTTTAACTCCTAGTATTCTTGGAGCCAATAACAAGTGAGTTCAGTTGATGTCAGTCCTTAATGTTAGATGTGTCCAAAGAAACTGATATCTACCTAAATCAATTGTGATTGGCAAACCAAATCGATATGAGGCAAGTTCATATTCCCACTTCTAAAGGGAATACTAGGATCCACCCATAATTTGATGAGAGGCAGAGTAGTTTAAGTTGGATAGATTGGTCTAATATTGATTAATGAATTACTTAATACGTTTGACCCAATTCATTTTACTCAAGAACTCAATTATTGTATCCATCTTTTAGTTTAATAAATGAGTCTCCAGTCCTGTGATCCCTATGTCAATGTCACTATCAGGGAGTGCCAATCTTGTGGCACACGATCCAAACAGACACACACCAGCATCCTTAAATAATAATTAAATTGTGAATTAAATTCTATTGAAAATTAGTTATCTAATTGGAAATTGCTAATCATTCTCCCTTCTGATTTAATCTATAAATTCCTTAATATCAAGATCTAACTTTTTGATCATTTATTAAAAGGCTTGATTCATAAGATTTTCATCTATAGGATCTTCAGTTTATTCAACCTTTTTAGGTAACACTAGATTCTTTCTATTTGGCTTTTTCTTCTCCGGAGTGCTTAAACTCTATTCATATTATTATTAATCTGATTCTTCTTTTTATTATTATTATTATTAAATTTATTATTATTATTATTACTCCTCTTTTTATTATTATTATTCTTATTGCTAAACTTTTTCTTCTTGTTATAACTGAATACTATTCTTGTTAATTTCCTCGATCTCCATAGAAATCTTGGATTCTTAGATCTAAGGTTATTATTCCTATTATTCTGAACCTTATTATTTATCCTTACCATTGCAAGTCTGATTTGTATGATTAGGGCATTTATATTTTTTATTTTTAGTCACTATAATCCAATCCTCAGTGTCTTGATTATCATCAGTAGTAACTTCTTGATTATCCTACTCTTTCTAAACAACAATCGGCAATTATTCTTAGATTACTTATTGCACTAACTTCTTTTGCTTATTTTACTTCTTCTTTTTCTTTAACTTCTATTAAGCCATTTATTGTGGTTGCATATTTTGATCATTCTTGGTTAAACATTCCAATTCCTATAGAATTGATTGCTTATATGATTCTCGAATGATTTGAAGCACCAATTTTTCACAGAAACCTTAAAGAGTTAATGCATTATGTAAGGGTAAATAAAATATGGATTCAATTTAATTATCATTAAATTTACTCAGAATGGTTTGAACATTGATTGAGTGATCCTTAATGAAATTAGAGTATTATTAAAGGAGAATATTCTGATCTGGTCGAATAACACTTGAAATACACTCAGATGCCTTTTTCCTTATGTTGTTTCCATTGTTTATCCAATATTACTAGATGCATTCGTGATTGATGAAGTTAATGTGTTTATAATAGAGCAAAGTGACCTACTTTTCGAACTCATTTATTATCCAATTTAGACAGCTCTAAGGTTGAGTAGAATCAAACCAAGTAGCATCTTGAACCTTCAACTATTTATTATTTTCAATAATCTTCAGTTGCTCTGTAAAAGCCTTGCCATTAGAACAATCCCTAAGCAAAGTGATTATACTAATCATATCTCCTCTAATACAGATCGTATCGAATATTTCATCCTAATCCACGAGAGTAAGTTAAGATAACAGTTTCTAAGAATAAAACTGAAGATGTACTTCCTCGAGATTATTTTTTTAATTTTATTCAGAGATTTAGCATAATTGTTCAATGGAATCCTTGAATTGAATTGATTAGTTTGAATTCAATTTGTATAAGGATTTCTAGACTAATCTGTCATGCAAATACATCTTCAAGATGAAAAGACTGATGGATCTCTGCCCAATAACTAATTGGTTATTACCGTTGTGCTTTTTCACCCTAAGTCAATCAATTATGTATATATACCAACTCATAAGACCAGAAAAATATGATTATGACATGATTTAGTTTTTTGGATATTTATTAATTAAATTTTGCGATTTCATAATATATAATGGCTTATAAAATTAAATCATCTTAGATAATCTGATCTCTATTTCTCCTTGAATTCTCTCAAAATTTCTGCTGCCTCCTTACTAATAAAGGTCTCAGTATCATTAAACTGAGAAAATTTCATTGCAGGTTGTTTGTAACTTTCTCTCTCATTCAATCTATTCAATATGGAATCTATTTATTAGGTTTCTGCTGAATCACAAATTCCTTTAGACTTCAATATCCCACTCAACAACTATATTGCCTCAACTGCCAATTGAAGTTTTTCATCTGTGTTAGCTTTGCTAGTTTAAGCAGGTGTTTGGGATAATCGATTCATTTATTATTGAGAAGGAGTTTGCGGTTATGGAGGTAAAGCATTATTGGAGTGGGATTACTTATTTGTGGTATTAATTAATAATTAAGGTTGAGATTAAGATTTAATTTAACCTCCATAGTTGGTTTATCTTTCAACCGATGTAACTTACTTATCTAATTAGGTTTGGGATGATTGTTATTAAGAATTATTCGATTATATTTAATTATTCTATTGTAATACATCCAATATTAAGCTCGCCGAATCTCTTACTTGTTTTATCTAATAATTCAATTAAAATAATTACCTTATTTGATTTTAATTCATACATTAATTCCTTAAAATAGGAATGGTCTTGCATTTTCTCTTTTTACAAGACCACAAGAGAGTACAATATGTCTAGAGCCATTTTCTTCACTTGCCACTATTGATTTGACAGCAAAAATTATAAATGGGGAATGATTTCATCAGCAAAGATACTAGGATAAAATGAATTTTCATACTCTGATTATTCCTCAACACTTAAGATGATTGCAGCCATTCCTTCTAGGATCTCTACTTTTCCATTTTGTTGATTCAATAATGAGATGAATTTCCTAAATAGGAACAAAGCATTTTGTTCTAAGATTTCATAAGACAAAAATTAGACTACTCTGGTCAAACAGAGAGCATGTTAAGCATTCTAATTCAAATGATTCATGAGTGGTTTCAAAATGCTATTTAATACATCTCCATCGAAACAACAATGTTTAACTATTTTTCCTACAATTTCAGCCACTTGTGTGCAAACACAACTCATTGATTCGAAATCCTTGATTCTCTTCAATAGATGAGTGAATATCATTGGTAATTGAGGGCTCAAGTTTTCATTCGCACATTCAGCCAATAGTCCAAACAATTTCAATTGTTCTTTAACTACGCTAATTTTATCCGATTTGGCTTCAATTAGCACTTAAACTATCATTTGATATTGGTCACATTCAAGAAATATTTATCGGAATTGAGGACTTGCAATAGGTTTTTACAATAAGTATTATAGTTGTTATTTGTAATTTTTCATTCGTTATAATTTTAATTAAAAAGCCTCCATAATTTTATCAATATATTAGAGTCATAATTCCATGAATTTCTTAAACAAAATATTTGCTAGTACACATAATAGAAGCTCTTTTTTAATTGAGGATGTCTTAGGTTCTGAAGATGATCAAGGTGAAGTCCCAGAACGTCAAGAAATTCCATAATTTAAGAAATAAAGTATTCAACATTATAGAATTACACCGTAAGAAACCGCTGACAAAATGGGTTTGGCAGATTTTTTGGCTAGATACGATGAAAATTTTGAAGATGTATTTGTAGTTAAACCTGTGATTATTAAATTCACAGAAGGGAAAGAAAAGAAGGCAAGAAGAAGGTGAATATGATAACGAGAGAAATCACAAAAGAAAAAACCTTAAAGCAAAACAAGGAAAACTTAATCAAAAGAACAGAAGGAATCTTTAAAAGATAATACCTAAAGAACAATAAGCAACCCTGGATTATCAAGAATTTCAAGTAACTATAGATTATAACGATTTAAATGATATGACAGAATTCAAAAAATCTCTTAAATCAAAATTAGAAAAGGACCCAAAAATAAGATTACCGAAATTCCCAAAATATAGAAAAAGGATTGCTAAACAATCATCTTTCTACTTTAAGATCAAACTCCGATGGACGTGACAATGTCAGTAATAAGGATAGAGAGCCTATATAATTAAGTAACAAATATAATCCTAATGATATTGCCTTACCTTAAACAGCTGTACCCAAGTAAGTAAGAAGTAAGATAAATAAGAAAACCATGCTATTTACCATTGGTCAATAATGATGATAGTGATAAAGATACAAATTAGAAAATTACCAATTTATTTTAGGATCAAAAGGAAAAAAAAGATCAAAATTAATAAAATATTAATCTTTATAATTCTAATCTTTTACCAAATAAGAAAGACCCAAAAAAAAAAAAAAATGAAGAAAAAAAAGAGAAAAAGGAAAGAAAAGAAAAAAAAGAAAAGGAAATAAACAATAAGGAGGTTTACTAAGATTAAGGAAACCTTATAAAATGCAAATAGAAAGTAAAGTAGAGAATAAGAGAAACCAGAGAAAAAAAGAGAGAAGAGAAATAGTAAAAGCAATCAAGAGAGAAAGGTGAAAAGATTATTACTAAATCTCTTTTTCCTGAAATGAAACTTATCCAATCAGAAACCAAAAAAGAGTTAATAGAAGTCAAAAAAGAATTATTTAAATATTGTAGAATGCAAACCCAATTTATATTTAGATTACGATCCTCAATATGATTGATATATATAATAATATAATCAACTACATAATCAATAAATGACTTATAACAATTTCTTACATGAAAAACGATTTTCCAGTAATGAATAAATAAATAAATAAAAATCTCATGAATATAAAGAATATGATTGATTAATTTGAAATAGTTAGAATTACGATTCAATAAATAGAAAAATTCAATATTAAATAAAAAAGATAGTTCAATAAAACAAATTAAATTAGGTTTATTAGTATGATTTGGCTGACTTATTTAGTTTTTAGATGTAACCAAAGGAATGCTTACTCTAAAAAAAATTGTCTTGAAATATCTGGTACTAGATTCGCTCAGAATATTAGCTAGATCTTACTTTCGAAGATAGATAATAACACTAAAATTAAAAAAAATTTAATATAAACCATTATAAAGTATAACACTCATTGATTTTTTATATAGATCTTATAAATCTATAATTTATTTTGATCTTTAATATAGTTTATATAGTATTTGCCATCTCAAGTCATTTAACTACTCCCATATGGATTAGTTTTAACAACATCTATTCTTTTCTGAACAACTTAATCTTCAACGTCTAAATAAATAATGCAAATAGATGTTTGGTTATAAACAATATGAAGCTGCAGACACTGAGAAAAGCCCATTTTCCTATATTCGTGAATAGAACTATTTCTCCACTTTTTATTGATTCATCAATTCCCATAACTTAAACGCATTTGAGCTTTTTAAGCCAACCATTCTATTAAAGTTAGTACCAGAGTTTTCTAATTTATTAGATTTATCGTACAACTACAAATTAATTCTTAAGTTGGTTAATTGAACAGCATGGCTTAAACAAAATAAATATCTTCTATTTTCTAAAATTATACCCATGCACCTTTCGACTTCTTATTAAAGACTATTGCTGATTTAGAAAAAGATAAAGATGATTTTCTAATAACTACTTACTTAACCATTTTTATTCTATATTAATAAATTAACAAGTCTTCTTAATCATTCATAACCAATTAAAAATAATCATTATAAGGTTTAAAATAACATAATTATTTATGATCCTTGTTTGCAAAGTTAATTTATTACATTCATTTGCTTAGATGATGGTAATAAAATTGTATTTAACTTAAACATTTGGTATTTTTCAAAGCTACATAAGATTAATTCCTCAAAATGATTTCATAATCATAGATATGCTAAGAGATAAACATATTTGAATTATGAGTACAGTAAATTCCTTTTTGGGAATGACACTAATTCTTGAATTATTTCATCGACCCTTCTTTGAAGTTATATAAGTTAAGATTGGCTATCTTTCCTTTTCTAGTGTTTCCGAGATAATAAAAATTGTAGAGTTGCAATTCACAATAATATCATTAATTTTACAATCTGATTCGATATTTTATTCGTAACTTAACTCATGCTCAATATTTCTGCTCTTTTTCATGAAAATAATTAATGGAAAATCATTTAATATATACCCTTTTAATAATCAAATTCTGTTAATTTCTTATGATTCTAAATTTTCTTTATTGGTGGCCAATGCTTGTACATATGATTAGGAAGTTATTGATGAAAGCTATTTTAAAAATTCAGATTATATAAAAAGGTCTCAAGAAATTTTGTTAAGTTTATCTGGATGAGTTTGGAATAATACTCATTATTTAATTCTATTTCATTAATTTCTGGAAATCGAAGGCATTCATTATTTAGTAACATAATCTATTGAAGAGGCTTTTCTATTTGAATGCAAATAATAATTGATAAATAATAATTCTTCTATGGTAATTACAATTAATGTCACCCGTTTAATCTTCCTTCAACTATCAATTTGATGTAATCCTTTGAAATTCTTGATTAAAATGATATAATTTCGATGATTTTTTATTTCAACTACTCAATTCATTTCATCTAATTATGTGATCAATTCTGATAGCTGTTCAGCTTAATGTTTAAGCGAGCATGTATCTAAAATTCATTGGCTTATATTGAGATAAAATTCAAAGCCAATAGATATTATATGTACAAAAACATTTTGAATTATTAATGTATTATTATATATTCAGGATTATAATTGAATTTTTTAATACCTTTAATTCTTTAATAAAGTATTTGTAAAGTTAAAAATATCAATAACACTTATAAATGGGTGAATAAATCTTAGGAATATTCAAAAATCAAACCGAAGACTATGTTTTCAATTTCAGAAGCACGCCTTATAGGGTTTGGGTTTGGGTTTGGGTTTGGGTTTGGGTTTGGGTTTGGGTTTGGGTTTGGGTTTGGG